AACACAGAGTTGTATCTGATGTCTATGAAATTTAACGTGCATTTGCCAATCAGAGTTTGTCAGCTTAAAAAAAAATCTACTGCATTTATCAAGCTTATTGGGAGAGACTTTTGTGCATAGTAATTACATATTTATTGAGCACCTCAACTGCTTAGTATTCAAAATTATTTGCATCTGTTAATTTATTTTGAAAAGTTTATTTTCATGTGATTCCAGTCATATTGTAAATGCTTGTATTTATGTAATTTAAATGAGTAAAGTGAAAAAGACCTTAAATGTAATTTTAAGGGCTTTTGTCAAATTGCTTTAGTCTCTAGCTTCTTAAACTGTTGGTCATGAGAGAGGGAGTGACCAAAGGATCAAGGCCTCCACAGAACAGAAGTCGATTTGGCCCCCAGCACCCTGTATGGTCCTGAATCCTGCAAATGATGTAGGACGCCCCCCCGCCGCCCCCCCCCCCCCCCCCACACACACACACACACATGCACACATCACCATCATGGCAATGAAATTTCTGGGAAAGTTGTGAAGCCACCATTTCTAATTCTGACCCACCTTGTGGATACAGAAAGACAGACCTGATAAGACCCTGAGTGGACCCATCCCTACTTAAAGGGCCTGAAGGAAATTCCTGGAGAACCCTCAGTCCCTTGCTTTAATCTGATAAACCCTCAGCTAGCCCAGACCAGAGGAGGCTGGATCCACTCTCCCAGACACATCCAGCATGAGTGAAGGTCAAGAAAAGGAGTTTCAAAGAAAACCACTCCCCACTCTACCTTCTTGGCAACCACCCTAGCATATGGACTCTTCCCTAGCCAGAAAGCCCCACTGGGGGAGGATTGGAAAAACCCTAGAAGCCACCTTGAACAAAGGCTGGGTGCACATGTGCTGCTTGTGCCCACATGCCGGGGATTTGTGTCACCCGCATCTCCCCCCTTGAGATGTGGACTTTCATGCTTTCATATCTAATGCTGGGGGTGTGTATAGAGGCTCTCGCCACCTTTGGAGAAGCCCACGTTCTCTCTTGAGTGCTTATTCTCTCTCACTTTCTCTTCATTCTTCCTAAAAAACTCTGCATAAAATCTCTTTTTACTTCTCTGCTTGTCTACTCCTGAAAATTTTTTTTTGTGGTAACCTTGGGTGGCAAAGGTGGATTGGAAGAAAGTGAGCCTCGCTCTCCTCCCCGCCTCACAGAAGCCACCCGTGGCTGTCCACCAACTTCACTAGGAATGATCCCTGGGCAGAGCCAAGTCTAAGCTCTGAGTACTGCTGTACTCAGTATCTCGAGTATCTCCCCCCCCCCCCCCCCAGCCAAAAAAGAACCTGTGTAGGTCATGATCCCATTTAGTATTACATCATTACTATGGGTGTTGTAAAAATGTTTTAAAATAAATGTATATTTACTGCAAGTAAAGGGCTGGAGCGATAGCACAGTAGTAGAGCGTTTGCCTTACAAGCGGCCAGCATGGCCGACCTTAGTTCGATTCCTTTGCCCCTCTCGAAGAGCCTGGCAAGCTACCGAGAGTATCTCGCCTGCACAGCAGAGCCTAGCAAGCTCCCCATGACATATTCGATATGCCAAACACAGTATCAACAAGTCTCATGATGGAGACGTTACTGGGCCCGCTTGAGCAAATCGATGATCAACGGGAGGGCCGTGACTTATCTACTGCAAGTAAATAACCTTCCACTTTAGTTTTTGGTATGTGTATTTCAGGCTACCCCTACCTATGTCCAGCTCTGTTGTGAGGCATTGTTCTGGTGGTGCTTGAAGTTTTGGAGATTGAACCTGGGTCTTCAGTGTGCAAAGCCTGTACTCAAGCCAATTGTCTTTTCTGGTGCTTCATACCTATTATATATATATCACTGTAGCACTGTAGCCCTGTCCTCCCGTTGTTCATCCATTTGCTAGAGGGGGCACCAGTGACATCTCCATTGTGAGACTTGTTACTGTTTTTGGCATATCAGATACGTCACGGGTAGCTTGCCAGGCTCTGCCGTGCGGGCGGGATACTCTCCTTGGCTTGCCGGGCTCTCTGAGAGGAGTGGAGGAATCGAACCCAGGTGGGCCTTGTACAGGGCAAACGCCCTGGCCACTGTGCTTTATTTAGCCCACCTATTATACATATATATATGTATATGTATATATACACATCACTGTATCTCTGTCATCCATTGTTCATCGATTTACTCAAGCGGGTGTTAGTAACGTCTCCATTCGTCCCAGCCCTGAGATTTTAGCAGCCTTTCCTTGTCTTTCCCAATGCTGCTGTATTGGAGGCTCTTTCAGTGTCACAGGAATGAGGCCTGTTATTGTTATTGTTACTGTTATTGTTACTGTTTTTGGCATATCGAATATGCCATGGGTAGCTTGCCAGGCTCTGCTGTGCAGGTGGGATACTCTCTGTGGCTTGCCAGGCTCTCTGAGAGGTATATATGTATATGTATATGTATATACACACATCACTGTATCACTATATAATTTCCCTCGGACAGTAGTTATCAATTTATTGAGGGAAATATATATATTTGGGGGGGGGGGTGGGAGCACACCCAGTGGTCTTAGCTTACTCTTAGCCTTGTGTTCAGGGATCACTCCTTATGGGGCTCAAGGGGCCGTATGTGGTGTCAGGGACCAAACTTGGCCTAGTAGCATGCAAGATGAAAGCCTTCACCCTCATATTGCTTTGGCCCTCTTAATACTTATAACCAGGGTCAAATAAAAACTGCTCATGTGAAAAGTTGTGAGTGGAAAGAAGATTACAAAGCCCTGCTCTGGAATGCTCTTCTGACTTCTTATAATAGATTTTACTCTTTACAGTGTTGACTAGAATTTTAATATTTTTTTCCTCAAATAACGTAGTTCTTTTAGAATATTTGGAAATGCAAAAAATCACATAGTATACTGTTAAGTTCAGCAGCAGTTCTAACATCTAGAATAATGTCTGATAAGATTTTTTTTTCTGCAGGGCAAGATGTAGTACAGTGAAGATATGGAACCAGTATAATGTGTTTGCCTTTTATGCGGCTTAGCCTGACTTGATTCTCATACCTATATATAAGTCCATGAATATCAGGAGTGATACATGAACACAGAAAGCCCTTTGCACAGCTGGGTGGGTATGTCTTGGGGGGCTAGTACAGGGGCTGGGCTGGGCTGGAGCAATTGCACAGTGGGTAGGGAATTTGCCTGCAGTGGAACTAATGTAGGCAGGTAGACAGGGAAGGCCCCCTCCCAAAGCAATGACAAAAGCCAGCCCTGCAGAAAATAGGAAAACAGGAACTAAGGCTTGGTAAGACCCTGGCTCCAGCAACAGACCCAAAGAAGCTCTAGGAACAAAAGGCCAGGAAAGGAATTTCAAAGAAGACCATCACCACTCCCATCCTCCCTGGTAACCTCCTTAGCAACAGACATTTACCTGGGAAGAAGCCCCACGTGGGGGCAGGTTGGAGAAACCCTATAAAGGCCACCTTGAACAAAGGAAGGGCGCGCATATGCTGCCTGAGCCCATGTGTGCTTATGCCCACGTGGCTGAGCACACGTGGTGTCCAAGCACATGTGTCACCCGCATCTCCCCTCTTGGGATGTGTACTTTCATGCTTTCGTGTCTAACTTTACTCTCTCTCTCTCTCTCTCTCTCTCTCTCTCTCTCTCTTTCTCCCCCCGTCCACACCTTAAAAATCCTCCAAATAAAATCTATTTACTTCACTGCTTGTCTGCTCCTGAAATTCCTTTCTGTGAGGCGCGACAAGAATCCAGTAACCCTGGGTCCCGGGTGGCAGAGGTGGTTGGGGAGAAAGTGACCGTCTTTCTCCTCCCTGCTTCACATAAGTCACCTGTGGGGCCCACTGACATCAGAACTGGCTGACCCAGGTTCAATCCTCCGCCTCTCTCAGAGAGCCCGGCAAGATACAAAGTATTTCGCCCCCATGGCAAAGCCTGGCAAGCTACCTGTGACGTATCCAATATCAAACACAGTAACAAGTCTCACAATGGAGACGTTACTGGGCCCCACTCGAGCAAATCGATGAACAACAGTGCTACAGTACAGGACTTAATCCAGGATTAACCTTGTGTGACCAACCCAGGATTTATCCCCAGCACCATATATGGTCCCCTGTAAAAAACTACGCACGCAGAAGGTTGTGTGTTCGCGGGCTCTCTGGACGCCCGCATTCGGTGCCCTAGAGCCACTGTGTGTGGCCTGGATCCGGACGGCTATTGGCCAAGGGCAAATGAAGGAAGAGACGAGGGCCAGGCCGGTTGATCTTTGTAGCAATTTATTACAAGGAAGTTGATCCCATAGAAGAAATTTATGTTATGGAGGGCCTAGGTTCTCTCAAGCACGCGTTCTCCTTGCTAGTCTCTCTGTGGTCCAGCTTGTAGCCCTGCTCTCTCTTTCTCCTGCTCCCTTCTAGTCTGGCCTACACTCCACCCAGTCAGGTAGCCAAATCAACATAAGAAAGCCCTTCCTGACTGCTCCAGGCAAAATATCTCCTTAAGCTGTTTTTCTCTTTTCCTCAGTCCAATAAACTATCAACTGTCAACTATTCCTGAGGCTATGCAGGAAGGACAGAACAGTGTTATCCTACAGTCCCCTTAGTACCATTGGGAGGAACCCCCAAAACAAAATATGAAGCCAGAAGTAGTACCCAAGCATCAGAGAGTGTGGCCTAACATTCACTTACCAAGATCTTTTTTCTAAGTGTAATTTATAAATTAGTATTGAGTACCCCGGCTACACTAGCATGCAACAGGGACGAATGGAGACAGACGTTACTGGCACCCACTCGAGCAAATCGACGATTAACGGGAAGTCAAGTGATCAAGTGATTGTGTACCCCACTCTCTCTCCCTCATTCTCTCTCCTTCTCTTCCCCCTGCACCCCTGTGCCACCCACACATACATTCTTTCTTCTACCATCTAGTCTCTTTCTCTGTTAATCACAATAAACTGTTATCTATTGATGTTGATTTTTAAAAATTTGTTGTACCTTAGGATGCCTCCTTGATGGACATAAATTCCTTCAGCCCTATGATGCCAACGTCTCCTTTATCAATGATCAACCAAGTCAAATTTGAAGATGAGCCAGATTTGAAAGACCTCTTCATTACAGTTGATGAACCTGAAAGCCATGTTACTACAATTGAAACTTTCATTACTTATAGGATCATCACTAAGGTAAATCAGTCCTTCCTTCCTTCCTTCCTTCCTTCCTTCCTTCCTTCCTTCCTTCCTTCCTTCCTCCCTCCCTCCCTCCCTCCCTCCCTTCTTCCTTCCCTCCCTCCCTCCCTTTCTTCCTTCCTACCTCACAAGCAACTAGAGGTCCTGGGGTCACTCCTAACATTCTTGGCCTGGCTATGTGTGCTAGATGGTTCAGTGGTCAGGCCCATGGTATGGTGCTGCGTGAGACTGCGTAAATAGTTATTAAGATCGCCAGATCTCTTGGAGAGCCAGTTAGGGCCAGGGATTGAATTTGGTGCCTAGAATATGCTAGGCATGATTCCCAACCTGTGGATTGTTTTATTGACCCCCACTGACCATTTTCTTAGTGAACCTTAAGAAGTACATTTCATTCACTTAAATATCAAAATTAGAGAATTTTAGCTAAAATGATGTGTTTTTTTTCAATCATTTTGTATAAGACATTACATGGCATTACATTGAATTTTCTCTATCCTTCATTCATTTTTTTAAGAAGTTGGAGAAATTCCACTTAACTTTAGAAAGAATTTTATCTTTTTGTTTGTTTTTTGCTGGGGGAGAGGGGAGCACACTCCTTGGTATTCAGGGCTTATCCCTCTCTTTTTACTCAGGAATCACTCCTGACTGTATTCTGGGTACAAAATGTGGTGCCAAGTTTTGAGCCGGGGTCAGCTGTGTGCATGGCAAGTACATATTATCTCTGGCTCTAATAACTGCACGCGTTAGAGCAGTTGTGCCTTTTAGGATATTTTAAGGGAAAATGATAAGGAAGTGTCTTTAGAAAAGTAGACCCTTATGATCCTAATAAGGCAAACAATTTGCTAAAAAATGACATAATATTTTATTTTTACATTCCTCTTAAAGATTGCAAAAGTAATTTATTTAATTAATTTTCCAAATAGAAGCAAGTGGACATTTTGTCTTTTTTTTGGGGGGGAGGGGGGTCACACTTGGTGATGCTCAGGGGTTATTCCTGGCTCTGTACTCAGGAATTATTGCTGGCAATGCTCAGAGGACCATATGGGATGCCAGGGATCAAACCCGGGTTGGCCGGGTGCAAGGCAAGCACCCTACCCTCTGTACTATTGCTCTGGCCCCACATTTTGTCTTCTTTATAAGCTACTTTAACTATCTAATAATTCAAGGGCAAAGTTGAGTGAAAAGTCAAGTTTTTTTAATCCTCGGACAGGACTCTGCAAAATGAACCTCTTTAATTTTCATAAAACAGATAAGAAATATGTTTACTTTTTCGTAAAAGATCATTATATAGTCTCAGCTTTTTAAAAATATTTTTGGGTCACACCTGGCAATGCACAGGGGTTACTCTTGGCTCTGCACTAAGGAATTACTCCTGGCAGTGCTCTGGGAACCATATGGGATGTTGGGAACTGAACCCATGTCGACACCGTGCAAGGCAAATGCCCTACCCTTTGTGCTATCACTCCAGGCCCTAGTCTCAGCTTTTAAGATTTAAGAGTTTGATTTCCAGGGCCAGAGTGGATAGGGCATTTCCCTTGTACATGGCCGATGTGATTTCCATCCCTGATATCCTATATGGTCCCCCAAGCACCACCAGGAATAGTTTTGGGTGCAGAACCAGCAGTACCCCTGAGCATCGCTGGGTGTTGAACGCCCTCCCATAAAAAGAATTTGATTTCTAAGCTTTATTTTGTTTATATTTTTTGTAGTACATCTCTGAGTCTACACTCTTCATTCATTGTGTGTGTGTGGGGGGGGTGGTGGCAGGAGGGGGGACTTTGGGCCACACCAGATGCTTAGGGACTGTTGTGCATGAGGGTTGCTTCCAGCAATGCTTGGGGGACCATGTGGGATGGTTGCTGGATCCACATCTCCTGCATGCAATACCCATGCTGGCCCCAGTTACATCTCTTTTTGAAGTTGAGAAGATTTTAGCATCATTTTTCATTTTTCTATAATCACTTCTAACATGACTTCTGCTCTGTTGTGGGAGAGTTTTTTTTTTTTTTTCTTTTTGGGTCTCACCCGGTGATGCAGAGGGGTTACTCCTGGCTCATGCACTCAGGAAATACTTCTGGTGGTACTCAGGGACCATATGGGATGCTGGGAATCGAACCCGGGTCTGCCACGTGCAGGGCAACCCCCTGCCCGCTGTGCTATCGCTCCAGCCCCACTTCTGCTCTGTTGTTAGTTTTGGTTTGTGAAAACCTAAACATCTCATCTCTTCACTCAGATTCTCAACATCTTTCTTTGGCTTTTCATTCCCTTGAGAACAAAGTACAAATTTCTTGATATGATATCTAAAGAGTATCTCTTACTGCCCAGTATTCTACTTCTGCTCTTCAATAACTAAAACTGTTGCTGTTCTATTCTAGGGTGTTTCTATTTTTTCTCTCAGCTCAGGTATTGAATGAGGGCCTCACTCATGCTGGGCTAGTGCTCTACCCTGAGCTATGTCCCCGGCCCCTTGTATTTCTTGTTTTGATGACTTTGCATGTGCTTGTGGGGGGTTTTGTTTAGTATGTCTTCCTCTCTTTAACAGAAGAACTACTATTCATTTTTCTGGACACAACTCAAAGTGATGCTGTGACGACTTCTCCATTGTTTCTGGCCTGCTTCCCCCCTCCAGAGTCTAACAGTCCTCTTTTGTTTTTTCACATTGTTCTGACTGAATTCTTAAAGAATGCAAAACATTGCAGTCAGTGTAGCAAAGACATTGAAAGTATTTATTTAATACTTCTAAACTTTTTTTTTTAATCTTACATTTGAGAAGTGATAATAGAATCTGTTGGGGTCTTTTTGCAGTGTGATAAGAATTGGTTTGGAGGGGCCAGAGACATAATATAACACATAAGGTACTGTCTTGTATGTGTCAGACCCAGGTTTGTTCCTCTGGCCACCCAGATGATTCCCTGATCCTGACGGATGTAAACTCTGAGTGCAGCCCAGACAATGCCTAGTTTGGTCCACAAACAAACAAACAAAAATAAAAACAATTGATTTTGGAGTATTGCACGTAAAGCACTGGCAAGTGCCCGACAGAACAAGTATCATTGATTGTCACCTACCTGTGTGTGAGCTGAGAACTTTATGTCCATTGTATTCATTCCTGATGAACCCATGGGCTTTTCAAGGAAGGGAATTCTATCTTAGGTTTTTCCCAAGTCCATACACAAGCTCCAGAGCATAGTAAGTAAACATTTTTACTTCTAGGTCAGTGAGGAAGTAAAGGAGTTTATGTTATATCAAGGTAAAACAGCATAGAATTAAATCTTGATTTTTTTCTTCTTATCTGTTTTTAACCTCTATAAATTTTATTCTCATTTATAAATAATAGCTGATGAAATAAGCCTCTCACCCTCCCTTCAGTTCCTTCCTTTTTTTCTTGTTTTATATTTAGTACAGAAGTGTCATATGTAGCTTAAACATTTGGTTATAAAATGGTTATCCTTTATTTTTAAAATATCTTTAATTAAAATGCCATTTTATACTACTTTTTAATGGTCATTAATAGTCTTGTTCCATCTACCGCCATACAATTGACCTCCTTAAATCAGTTCACCCCTCTCACCCTTTCTCCTTTGGTAAGCACCGTTTTTGTTCTCGTATAACTAGTATAGCAAGTAGTATAACTAGTATAACAAGTTCTTGTGTGTGTGTATGTGTGTGTGTGTGTGTGTTTGTAACAAACACTTTATTTGTTGTACTTTTTTATCATCCACATATGTCTGAAATTTCACAGCATTGGTATTTTTCTGTCTTATTTTTACCTGCCAGAATATCTACTAAGGGTATCTGTATTGTTTTAAATGGCAAGAATGGATATTTTTAGTAATCCATTCAGTTGTGTATATGAACCATGTCTTCTTTCTTTATTCATTCATTAATGAACACTTGAGGGCTGGAGCGATAGCACAGCGGCAAGGCGTTTGCCTTGCAAGCGGCCGACATGGGCGACCCGAGTTCGATTCCTCTGCCCCTCTTGGAGAGCCCGGCAAGCTCCCGAGAGTATCTCGCCCGCACGGCAGAGCCTGGCAAGCTCCCCGTGACGTATTCGATATGCCAAACACAGTAACAACAAGTCTCACAATGGAGACGTTACTGGGCCCGCTCGAGCAAATCGATGAACAACGGGAGGACCGTGACCGTGAATGAACACTTAATTCCATTTCTCAATATTGCCTTTTCACACTAATGCTGCAATGAACACAAGGGTGCGTATAGGTTTTGTGAGTTAGTGAATACTGAATGTGTTAATACAGACATTCCACTAAGAAAGAATAGAGCCAGGTTTCTCAACTGTTCCTACTAATATCTTTTTCATCATCATTTTTCCTAGCAGAAAGAGAGAAAAGAGTGAGGGAGAGAGTGTGTGTGTCTGTGTGTCTGCGTTCTGCTTTGTATTGTTTTCACAGTGTTAGAGACTGAAACCAGGCACTCACAACTACCAGGCAAGTGCTCTACTGCTGAGCCCCATCTCCAGCTCTCATCCGAAAATTTGTGAATTGGGTTGTTTTCCCTCTTATTTGCTTGTCCTAGAAACACAGACTTCCAATGGGTTCATTCTGACATTTAATTTTAAGCATTTTTAGGGTCATACCTGGTGGTGCGATAGCACAATGGGTAGGGTTTTTGCCTTGCACGCAGCCTACCTGGGTTCGATTCCTCTGCCCCTCTTGGAGAGCCCGGCAAGCTACTGAGAGTATCCTGCTTGCATGGCAGAGCCTGGCAAGCTTCCTGTGGCATATTTGATATGCCAAAAGCAGTAACAAGTCTCATAATGGCGATGTTACCGGTGCCCGTTCAAGCAAATCGATTTGAACAACAGGAGGACAGTGCTGCAGTGCTGCCTGGTCGTGCCTGTGGGCTGCTAGTGCATGCTTAGGGTATTTCTCATGCTTACGGCATTTCTCAGCCCATGATGCAGTGTCTTTGGCCCCTGTAAACATAATTTTTAATGTACTTAAAAAGTACTGCTCTTTTAACACTGGTACTTAGAACACTGGTAGACATGATTAATTGTTAAATGGACGTTAATTATGTGACTGCTTTGTGTTCTAAACTCTTTGTATATATTTGCTCATTTAAAAATTATGTACCATATCACTACTATGGCCTACGTATAGTGATTCACCTCCACTTCATGAATGAGGACACTGAAAGTCTGTAACTTGACAGAGTTTACACTGCAGAGTGATTGACTAAACTGGAATTCAAAGCCAGGCAGTTTAGGGGGTTGGAGCGATAGCACAGTGGGTAGGGCATTTGCTTTGCACGCAGTCGACCTGGGTTCGATTCCCAGCATTCCATATGGTCCCCTGAGCACCACCAGGAATAACTTCTGAATGCAGAGCCAGAAGTAACCCCCGAGCACCGCCAGGTGTGACCCAAAAAGCAAAAAAAAAAAAGCCCCAAAAAACCTACAAAAACAAAACAAAACAAAAACAAAAAAAATAAAGCCAGGCAATTTATTACACTTGATACTATACTTTTTCATACTTTTTCATATTTGTACATAGTTCAAATATGCTTTTATTTAAATATGTTTATAGGTATATATAAAGAAATATACAGATATATACATATGTATTTATGTACAATAAGAGATATGGACTATGTCTATATATTAAAATGTATATGTTAGATACAGGTAAACATTTAGTAGCTATATTTGATCAAATACAGTTTTTCCTTTATAGTTCACTTACATTTATTCATTTGCTTATTTATTTCTTAAAACTTTTATTGGTCAGACATTGTTTATAAGTGTTATGCTTCTTTACTGAGACTTTGTCAGTAATTAAGATAATTCATACCTTCTGCTTTTGGGGTCTTCCAATGTGGGAGGGAGCAATAGATACTATTAAATCACTGTTATTTATTATTTAAATATAGTTATAAATGGGTTGGACCGATAGCACAGCAGGTAGGGCGTTTGCCTTGCACACAGCTGACCCCGTGTTCGATTCCTCTGCCCCTCTCAGAGCCTGGCAGCTACCAAGAGTATCTCATCCCCACGGCAAAGGCTGGCAAGCTACCCATGACATATTTGATATGTCAAAAACAGTAACAACAAGTCTCACAATTTGTTGTGAGACGTTATTGGTGCCCGCTCAAGCAAATCAATGAACAACGGGAGGACAGTGCTACCGTGTTACCATGAGCATGAGGTTTGCTGTCTAATTAGAAAATTCAGAGACAGTTTCAGGGAAATTTTCAGATATATATATATATATATATATATACACACACACACACACACAAACACACACAAATATTATAAGGATAAGTATATATATATTGACAATCTCTTACATACAGATACCTAAGAATAACTGTGGATAGCTATAAGGTTTAGGAACAATATTCTGGGCAAGCTCTGTGTACGGGCAGTTAGCCTTTATTCTTCAGATAAAATTATCTGTGAAATTTAGTCATTCTATATTGGAGGTCTAGAGCTATGCTTCTTTTGTACATATAAAAGTAATAACTAAGAAAATTATGTATCTTCCTTCCTTTATATTTGTGTGGAGGCATACCCATAAATGTTTGCTATTATTCAAGTATAGGTTACCATATTTTCAACCTATTTATAGCAAGGTCATGAACCTTGATTCCAAAATTTAATTTCTATCAAAAAAAATCATTTCAGAATCCTAATTGTGTAGAGTAACTGCATCTGACCAGAAGTTTGTGTCTTGTTGATTGAATGCATGTATTTGTCGGGTATGGATAACTGTTCACTGTCTCAAACGTCTCGTACCCAAACTTTCATAGTTGGACATGAAAAAGTAGCCATCATTAACAACATTGCTCCCATGGAAAAATGTATTCCAGATTTAGTATTATTGTTTGCCAAATGAACTTTGCAGAACACATGTTCTTTCTGAGTTGAGATCAACTCATTTTCCCCTGCAATTTAGAAAATATTGTGTATTTTCTGTAACAGAATTTGGTCACTTGGGATGATGCAATAATTCTGATTTCTTCTTTAGGGAATCTAGTTATAATCTGAACACAGAGGATAATTTGTTTTTCTTATTATTTATGTGTAATTTTACATGCTTATGAAAGTTCAGGATTAGAATAAAGTTTTGCAGTAGGAAAGAAAGAACATAGTACTTGAGATTTGCATGCATCGTCTGTTTTGTTCCTCTGTTATTGTGTGTGTTGGAGACTCAATCAATGGCAGCAGGATGCGTACAGAATCGATCAGTTATTTGACTTGAATTTATTTCTTCCTCTTGCTATGATTTATACCAGATTGTTTTATGTGGAAATTCTTGAGGATATATGCAGCTCAATCTTATTTTAACTGCCCAGTTTTAGAGTGTTTTTAATGAAACGTGTGCCAGTTGATTTGCTTGGAAATTGGTCATGAACCTGTACATATGTGCCTGGCACAAGGAGGAATTCAAGAAATAGTTTTTAATGAGTCACACGAAATCATATTTTTGTGCATCAATACATGCAAGTATGTATTTGCATATATATGTCCACATACCACCTTACATAGACACACACACAACACATATATGCATACATATATAATTGAACTGTGTTTTCTTATTTTTGCCAGTTATTTAACTTGTACCATTTTTTTTAAAAGATTTTTTATCAGTATTGGGGTCAGGGAGCTATTCAAAGGGCTGGAGCACTTGCTTAGCAGTAGGGAGGCCCTGGTTTGATTCCCAGCACCGTATGGTCCTTCCAAACACCATTAGGAGCAGCCCATGAGCACCGAGTTGGGATATTTCTGAGCACTACTGTGTAGGACAAAAAGCTGAAAAACAGAAATGCACATTGTTTAGTGTTTTATGAAGATTTAATGCCTCACACTTACACATCTTCTTTACTTCTCTACCTTTTCTTCACTAAAGCAGTAATAGTTTTGTAAGATACGTTATAGGTTATTCTAACACTAATTTTAATAGAGAAAACTTTGAAAATATTTTTTGTGGCCTAATTTAATGACAGGTTTGCATCTTTGATTTGGCTGCTTAATTTTACAATTATATTTGTGTGTGTGTGTGTGTGTGTGTGTGTATCTGATGTTTCTGGTGAGTGTGAAATATGTATGCAATGTGTTATTCCATCTTTACTTCTTCAGGAAACTCAACCTAAATATTACTGCATATAACTTTTAATATGCAAGAAATCAGTGAAATAAGATATTGATAGGAGTGACTTTTTTTTAATGAGAGGTGAGTGTGCATTAGATAACCAATTTTTATATTCAGCTTGCAATTTAGGCAAGAGAAATGAGGTTGATATTGGATCTATGTTCTTCATGTTATATGTGTTGGCATAGAATCAGTTTTATTGATAACAGATATTTTAATATATTTGCTTAAGTTTTAGGAGTCTAGGCATAGAGCTCAAAATAAAGTTCCTTAAGAAATGACAGGAACATTTTCACATAAAATATCCATTAATAACATCTTAAGAACTGGTAAAATCACTCTCTGAAATGTTAGAATTTTTATATACTAGAAGAAAATTTTAGCAAAGCAATTCATTTGAGCAGAAGCCAGGAAAACATTTTTTCTCAGTTATATTCAGATTATTTTCCAAATAGTAAAAATAGATTTTTCCCTCAAATTCTGAATTCTAATCAAGTTGAGAAAAAAAATGTATTTGAAACCTAAATTCCCAACACACTTTCTTGTTAGCAAGAAAATCGTGCCAAAGATAATAGTACTTAAATGTTGTAGAAGGCAGATGGTTGCTATAAGACAGATTTTTCCGTTTGGTCTTAAATTTGAGCATAATGTTTGCTTTATTTCTTGAAATACTGGAAAGTTTGCTTTATTTCATTTGCTATGTGAATTGATGATTGCTAAAAGAAAAGTATAGACTGACAAACACTGAATAATTAGAATTTGCTAATTTTTTTTAGAGACCCATTTATTCCTAAAAATCTAAAATAGCATTAGGCAAATGTTTTCTGTCATCCTGAATGTGCTGTTATGTTCTACTCTCTGCAGACATCTCGTGGAGAATTTGACTCCAGCGAATTTGAAGTTAGGAGACGCTATCAAGATTTTATTTGGTTGAAAGGAAAACTTGAAGAAGCACACCCTACTCTGATTATTCCAGTAAGTTTTTACTCCACCCCCTCCCATTTATCTTGGGAATCATCATAATTCCTGAAGTCTAATTTCAGATCTTTCACTGCAGAATAATTCATTATCTTATAAACATTTATTTAAAATTCTTTCAATTTATGTACCCTTTTAACTTTTCTAATTTGTTAATGTTTTGCAGCATTTAGCATTGTAAATTTTTAAAAATTGCTTTAATTAAAAGTGCGTATGTGTTCTGAGGTCTTTGAAAAGGAGAAGTGTAGAGTTTCTTATAATCCTGCACTACATAATGCTTTGTGACTTAAATAAATATTTTTTTTCTTGCCAAAGCCATTGCCAGAGAAGTTTATAGTGAAAGGAATGGTTGAACGTTTTAATGATGACTTCATTGAGACACGCAGGAAGGCATTGCATAAATTTTTGAACCGAATTGCTGATCATCCAACTTTAACATTTAATGAAGACTTCAAAGTTTTTCTTACTGCACAAGCTTGGGTAAAGAATTTTCATTTATACTCAATGTAATTGTTTAGTATCATTGTGTACAAGGAGGTCTATATGCTTCTTTTTGTCTGTTACTTTCATAAACCAGGCAGTTGTATCCTTGAGTTATAGCAATTTTTTAAAAAGCACTGAGAAAGATATTTCAGATAGAACCTTATGTCAAATTTTATATAAACATTGCAGAAGTATTATATCTTCCTCACAGATATATTCCTCTAGGTAGAATTTGTGTTTAGTATCAGGTTATTTCTTGATATATAGGCAGTATTGAGCATGAGCAATATAATTCTCTTTATTGACACAATTTTGAGCAATAATGAACTGGGATTTTTTTTAAGGAGGGAGAAAAGTACTTACTGATTGAAGGAATGAATGGGTAAATATCAAGCTACCGAGAGTATTCGATATGCCAGACACAGTAACAACAAAGTCTCCAATGGAGACGTTACTGGGCCCGCTCAAGCAAATCGACGATCAACGGGAGGGCCTTTACCTTTTACCTTTACCTTATAGGAGCCAGAGCATTAATACAGTAAGTAAGGTGTTTTCCTTGCATGCAGCCAACCTAGATTCAATGCCTGGCAAATCATATGGTCCTGAGCATTGCCAGGAGTGATTCCTGAGCCCGGATCCAGGAGCGAGGATTGAGCACCACCAGATGTGGACCCCCCCAATCCAGTAAATGAATAGATAAATATATAAATTAAAAAAATCCTCTTGTTCTTTAATTGCCCAAAGAGGAAATTGATCTAATTTTTACTACAGAAATCTTATATTGTCTTCTTTTTTTTTAAATTTTTTAAAATCTTATTTTTATAAAGTTGTTCACAATAATTTATTACATTCAGTATTCCAATACCAGTCTCACCTTCCCACCGCTATTATTTCTACTATTTCTAACTACCACCTAAGGCTGCCCCTATAGCAAGCCCTAAATAATTTATTTTGTATTTCTTGTTGTGAATAATCCGCTAAAAATGATCAAAAAATGTTTCCTTAGAAGAAAGTGTGTGATGATTGTTGTTTCTCACCCTGAAGCCATTAAGTTCTTGTATAAATGATTACATGTTTTTACAGGTTGAGCCTTGTATGCATATATATGTATATATATGTATATAATATATTTGTGTGTGCATATATATATATTTATTTTTATTGAGTTTGGTTACCTCCTACTTTACACTCCATCCAATGTGGTGTGCTACTCCTGGTACATCAATCATTGGTGTATGAGATGTCACTACAAGAATTCTAAAATTTGAAAGAGGGTGATACAGCTGGAGTTAAATTTTTAACTGAATGGTGACTTTGGGGTCAGAGGCATCTTTGCAGCCTGTTGTTTTCTTCCGAGATTTATTTGTGAGTCTCTGGATCATGACCATTAATGAGCTTATATGGAGCCAGAGACGTTTCAAGGATGTGACTGCCAAGCTCCCGGAAGAACAGGGAAATGTGGGGAGGTTGCTCATTCCTGACTCCTGGAGATTTTGGTCACAAAACTCAAAAACCTGAACTTTTCAACATTTTCACTCATGGATGAAACTCGTCCTGAGCCTTTGGAGATCGGTCATGAGCATGACGATGATTGGGTTCTGGAGCTTTTCAGCTGCAGGGGCTCTGTTTGGGCTGGTGGTGGGTTCCCCTTCCCTGCTGTGGAGTGGCACTGATAAGACAGCCTGCCACGGGATCTGGAATCATCTCTGTAGCTTGTTGCTCTCTTCCGAGATTTATTTATTAGTCTTTTGTCTTCTTTTTCCTTTTTTTGGAGGATTTAACCAAAGAAGATAATGAATCAGACAATTAGTCCCTATTAAACAATTACTGACCAATGGTAATTTTATTGCCAAAATGCTAGAAGCTCCAAATGATTTCTCTCAGCCTTGCCAGATAGTCTTGCTATCAAGAAGCTCTTTGTGACTTTTGGAAATGAATTGTGGCCTGACTCCAGTATGCTAGAAGCTGTGAGAAATATTTCCTATAGTCAGCAGTTGGAACAGCTTGCCTGTTGTGACTTGTGCTTTCTCTGGTAATGTTGACACTATTCAATGATGTGGTAGCACTTCTGGATGCAGTATTGCCTGGTCAAAATTGGCATCTGTTATTTGTACACAGAAATCGTTCCAACTTCTAAATAAACCAGGATTACCTCATATCAAATTTTCCTTAAGACCTTTAGAAAAGAAAATGTGGAAAAGAAGATATGTTATTTAATAGGTAAAGAAAATAATAATACTTGAAGTGATGGATTTAGTAGTAGTAGTATTTTATAGGTGTTTGTGTATTTTTATTCTTTAACTTTCTTTTTCAGTCCCAAAATTATGTTTCAACATGTGGCATAGCCATGAGCAAAATCTGGTTTTCTTTCTGTTATTCTTTTATAAGGAATACTTTTGCATAGTAAATTCTTTCATGGCATTTTGTTTCCATCATATCATCTCCATTGTGTCCTTCAGTATGAGTTCCTTGGGAAAACTTATTCTTTTAAAGAATATCCTTTTATTTATGGGCTGGAGCGATAGCACAACAGTAGGGCGTTTGCCTTACAAGCGGCCAACATGGCCGACCCGAGTTCGATTCCTCTGCCCCTCTCTGAGAGCCCGGCAAGCTACTGAAAGTATCTCGCCCGCACGGCAGAGCCTGGCAAGCTACCCATGACTATTCAATATGCCAAACACAGTAACAACGTATACGATATGCCAAACACAGTAACAACAAATCTCATGATAGAGATGTTACTGGGCCCGCTTGAGCAAATCGATGAACAACGGGAGGACCGTGACCTTTTATTTATGCTATGAGGAAGCATGTGCACTTTTTTCATACCAATGCTTTGATCTTTTGGACCACTCCGGTGGTGCTTAGGGCTTACTTCTGACTCTGTGCTCAGGTATCACTCCTGGTGGTACTCAGGAGATTTCAAACTGGGCACCACCTTCAGTGCTGGGGATTTGAACTGGACTTGACCACATGTACTGCAAGAACCTTACCTCCTATATTATCACTCTGACAATGATCCAAGTACTTTAAAAAAGAATATTGTTAAGGAGACAAAGAATTAGAGGAAAGACTATTATACCCTGACTAAAAACTCATCTGCTTCAAAATTGACATTAAAGAAACATACACAATATTATTTTATTAACACTTCTTTTATTCTTCTAACAAGGTTTCTTCCTTTTCTACCTAGGAACTCTCTTCTCATAAGAAACAAGGTCCTGGGTTCCTGAGTAGAATGGGGCAGACTGTCAGAGCTGTTGCATCATCAATGAGAGGAGTTAAGAACCGCCCAGAGGAGTTCATGGAAATGAACCATTTTATTGAACTGTTTAGCCAGAAAATAAATTTGCTTGATAAAATATCTCAGAGAATTTACAAGGAAGAAAGAGGTATGTAGGGCCACTAAAATGTAATTTCAAAGACATCACATTTCTAAGAGGCTTTTGAAATGAGTCTATATATTTGTTGGTATTCTCAGGCAGTGTTTAGTTACCACTTTTTTTTTTTACCTCTTCTTTTTTCTCAAGAGTTTTATCTCTTTGCTTTCAGGACTGATCTGTTTTGTGCTTGCTGTCTATTCATTAGAGCTCCTTGTCTATTTAAATTCCTGGCTTCAACATACTAACATCTTCATTATGTTTGCTTCGGATGCTTGCTTTGCATTGTGTATTTTCTGTCTTTTAGTGTGCCTTGCCATTTTTTCCCCTTGATATCCAGGTATGTTATACTGGGTCAAAATAATTTGTATAAATAAATCATTGGTAATCTGGTGGTGAGGTGCAGGGGTCGGGAGTATTTCTGAGTCTCATGATTAGGTCTCTGTCTTTGGGGAGGCTGTATTTTCTGCTCTGATCTTCACTAGTTTCTGTATTCCCCCCCATTAGATAAGACTGAAATGCTCGAAAAACTGGAGTTTCGTGTCCCCCTCCCTCCCACTTCTGCTGTGTCACTGAAACTCTAGGTTAAGAAGTGGTCAGCTCTTTTTCTTCCTAAAGGCAGACTATGTTAAGAAAACAGTGCCTGGGGCTGGGGCATTAGCACAGAGGGTAGGGCTTTTACCTTGCTGAGGCTGGGTTGGATTCCCAGCATTCCATATGGTCCCTTGAGCACCTCCAGGAGTAATTTCTGAGTGCAGAGCCATGAGTAAGGCCTGTGCATCGCCAGGTGTGGCCTGAAAAAAAAAAAAAAGAAGACAGTGCCATTTCAAAATTGCTTGTTCTATTCTTCCACCCCTAGCCCCTTTGGAGGGCTGGAGCGATAGCACAGTGGTAGGGTTTTTGCCTTGTGCACAGCCAGCCCAGCTGAGCCGGTTTCGATTCCTCCATCTGTCTTGCAGAGCCTGGCAAGCTACCAAGAGTATCTCGCCTGCATGGCAAAGCCTGATAAGCTACCCCTGACATATTCGATATGCCAAACACAGTAACAAGAAGTCTCAATGGAGACGTTATTGGGCCCGCTCGAGCAAATTGATGAACAACGGGAGGACAGTGACAGTGACAACCTCTTTGGAGAAGAGTGAATTTTTGATAATTGCTGTGGGAATCTGGGACAATGTCCTAGGATAGATTAATTTTGCAATATTGTGGGAAGGGTTCGCTATGAATGCAACTTTTTAATTTTTTTATTCCCTTAAGAATTTTTAATTCATAATTTGTAATTCTGAAGTGTTCCTGTTGAACCTAAAGCCACTGGTTAATTAGTAGTTCAAGTCTCCGTCCTGAGGCACTGGGCCCTGAGGTGATAGCAGCTGAGGGTCTTGCCTCTAGCAAGCAATAGTTCCTTGCTTCGCACTTCTCCAGTTTTGTGGCTTCCATTTCTCTGGTGCCCTTTCCTTATCTCACAAATCTATGAAGAGTTGTTGACTTTTCAGTTTGTTCAGTATTCTGTTGTTAGGTTGGAATAGAGACTTCCAAGCACATTTCATATGAAATTGCACGTTAAGTTGACATTTTGCCTTCAAAGTTTGAATGCTACCCATGCACATATTGTGACAATTTTCTCATTCTTAAGTGACTTTAAAGGAAGTCATGACCAGTCCCCATTCTTTTTAATCGACTGTGAGCAGTTTTCTTTACCATTAAAAATAGTAATAGTTATGTAAGCCGTCAATTTAAGACTATAGACATTATATGCCATTTGACTTAGTTAATGTGCTTTGTTTATGTTAGATTTTTTGAATTTTGCGGTTTATTTCCCTAAGTTTCTAGCTACATTTACCTAGAGTAAAAATAGATAGGAAAGTAATATAAATTCATATTGCAAATGAAGAATTATTCTCTATGTATATTGTTTCAATTATTAAATAAGTGAAAGCATAAGATTTTGTCAAAGGAATTTTTACTTTATTAAGAATTGTTTATTAAGGAATATAGAAAAGCATTTCAAACTGATTTGTATATTTTTTTGGTTTGAGCATTATTCATGCATTAGCTCTTGGTGAAGTTATTGCTATGAAGGAATGTAGCTTGATAATTTATTTCCATCAATTTGTTTCCATCCTTTTGGTCTGCCATCATAGTTACTATTTGTTGATTCTTTAAAAAAAATTTATTTTGTTTTGACTTAAAAACTAATTCTTTAAGTCTAGTGATTCTGTTTGTATTTTGCTTAGTAGAGGCAAAAAATCTAGTAGATTAAAAAAAAATGTCTATATGTATTTGTTGGGCTGCAATTGACAGTGCACAAGGGCTAAAGGGCTAATCCTGGCACTGTAATCAGGAATGACTCCTCGTGGTGCCAGGGGACCATATGTGGTGCCAGAGATTCAAACCAGGCTAGCAGCCACATGGCTGCATGCAGGCAAGTGCTTTTCCTTCTGTCTATCTCTCCAACCCATGTTAAATAGATTCTTGATGCTTAGTTAAATGTGATAGCAATTAGAAGAGGCCCTTGGAAATTCTTGGCACTAGAAGTATGTAGGATATCACTGTTCTATTGCTCTTATAGGGTACTAGTTGAACAATCTTTGCTATGCTCTAATATTTGTGAAATGCACAGAAGAAAAACAGGAATATGTTACTTTGACTTCTAAAGATAAATTTTTTATTTTCAGGGAGTAAACACAGGTACTCAGACCTGAGGCTTTACTGGTTTTTGAAGCGGAAGCCCCCAGGGGTCCAGAGCAATAGTACTGCAAGCAAGGCACTTGCCTTACACGACTGACCTTCGTGGCACCCAACGTGGTTCCTTGAGCCTTAATAGGAGTGATCTCTGAGCTAGGAGTAATCCTTTGAGCACTGTGAGGTCTCTCTCTCAAACACTAACAACAACAACAGAAAAAGAAAAGCAAAGACCCTCATGCACTCAAGATCTAAATAAACTCAAGATCTCAAGATTCTGTTTAAAATAATGGAGGGTTTTCTTTTGTAGTATTGGAAAACTAAGCTGTAGGGTGATGTATTCATATTCCAGTCATGAAGAATTTAGGGATAATAGCTAGTAGTTTCTGTCATTTCAGTGGTTGCTTCGTTTTAAAAATTTAGTTTTATAGTTTTTTTGGCAGATTTTATTTTTAATTGGCTGCATGTTATCTGCTTCTCTGTGCTGCTAATTCACAGAGGAATAAGATGGTATCTGCCCTTGAACTCTACTTTGATAAACGGATATATTGGTAGATAAATAAGGGTGCAACTACTTAAATACAAATATAATTTGAGCTGTAATTTAGAATTTTAAGGAGATTCTATACAAACATACTATAGAGGTTTAGACATAAAAATATGCCCTTTGAGAAAAAGCATAAAGGAAACCATTCTTATCTACGGAATATTGGGGTAGTATAGACTTTATTTAAAATAGATTCAGATTAGTTTAGAAGTATTTTAAAGGTCTTTAAACTTTTTTTTTTCATGAGGTGGAAAGGGGAGGTAGTTGTTTATAGCTACACAGTAACCATCAAGGACAGGAGGATGGCCTTAATGCAGGAATGCTCCAGCCTGAGGATATGTGCACAATGAGACAAATGAGGTGTTTTTTTTTTAAGTCTCTTTAATTTACATATTTGGAAAACACATACATTGAGCATGTGATTCTTTTTTCAGAATATTTTGATGAAATGAAAGAGTATGGTCCAATTCATATTCTGTGGTCAGCATCAGAAGAAGATCTGGTTGATACTCTCAAAGGTGTTGCCAGCTCTCTTGATAAATGCTGTAAGGCCAGCGAAAAGCGAATGTGTGGACTCTCGGAGGCCCTGCTTCCTGTCATCCATGAGTACGTGCTCTACAGTGAGATGTTAATGGTAGGAACTTATTAGACTCTCACATCTTTTACCTGACTAGAATCTTTATAAAAGCAGTTTCATTCTTTTCACCACTGTCCTCCTATCCTAGCAGGATACTTTGCATGTAAATAGTCAGTAAATGTTTGTTTACTGCATGAATGAGTTGATGAGTGGAAGAATACATTAATAAGAAACAGAAATATTCAACAGCAATAATAATTTATAAGATTATACATATGTTTGAGGCGGCCTCAGGCAAGCTTTTCATTGGGAATATGATCATGTGTTCAAGTGTTTAAAATTTTTCTTTTCAGAGTTTTAGCATTTTATACATTTCTTTTCATCATTGAGTTGCTTTTCTGCTACTAGGTACATTTAATTTTGCAATATATTTAATATCATTATGCTGAACAGACTTGAGTAGGATCTTGATGTTTGTTCTGCCTTCTGACTATGTCTCAAAAGAAATCCTTCAAATTAGAATGTTTTCCTTTTATTATTTGAAAATCCTTTTACTGCTTTTCTGCCAGAGTTTTTCATTTAACTTCCTTAGTTCAAATTAAGGTTACCAGATATTTGTAATTTTAGCTGTCCTCTTTGCAGGAACTGATGCTTTTCACTTACCACTCCTGTTCACAGTGTCCTGCACAAACTGAGTCTCTGTCTCTGATGATTTGGGTTTTTGTTGAGAGAAAAAATCAGTTTATGTTCAGCTAGAGCTTATTTCTTCTGTCATTTGTAACTGGAGCCATGTCTGGTGTCTGTTTTCATATATTCTTGATTTTGAATGACAAAAAAAAGTTAGTCTTTGTCTAGGTAAGAAACTTTCAATTATTTATTTATTTATTTTTTGGTTTGTGGGTCATACCTGGCAATGCACAGGGGTTACTCCTGGCTCTGCATTCAGGAATTACTCCTGGCAGTGCTCAGGGGACCATATGGGATGCTGGGAATTGAATCTGGGTCGGCCGCATGCAAGGCAAACACCCTACCCACTGTGCTACTGCTCCAGCCCCACTTTCAATTATTCTTGCAGCATGGTATCTGCCTCTTGTTTCTGTTTTCCTTTGGCAGAGTCATGAAATATTTTGTGGCCATTGTAGATCCCTGCTGTTTCTTCACCTTATTGGGGTTCTCCCATAAGCCTTTCATGCTTCCCTAATGCCCATAATGTTTCACTGCTCAGGCATCACCCCCTTGTCTTCAGCAGTTTCCTTGGCTACATGCCATTGTTTCTCTTCATTATTGATCTTCCCCTTGTGTGTCTCTTCAAAGTGATCTGATTTGTATCATTACAAATAGTATATTCTTTTTTTCTTAATTATATGTGTTTTACTCTATTATGTAAAGATGGAAATCATGTAGCTTAAATTATATATCATTGAAGATGTGGAAAAATTATAATAGTAATCAGAAAGAATTATTTCCTAGGTTCTCATTTGGTTGTAATATTTTTTAGACTCCTAGAATATAAAAAGCTGTATTTATATTGCAGTTGTGGTTTGGTTTTATAATGGAATGTCTTCTTTACTGTGAAATGAAATATTTAAAATGTATGCCTTCACAATGATTATATTAGTATAATTTCTACTAGTTATCTTCAGAAGGAACCACTATATAGAGTATTTCTACTTGCATGAAGCACATTGCTTCATGTTTATGGAAATACCTTGAGTAAATTGACTGAAATGTCGTAGTCATTTGGGCTTAGGAAAGGAGGTCCTGGTGTGAATAGCACACATCAAAGTAAGTGTAGAGAAATTTGTAATAATTACTAGAATTTTCCATTGATTTTCTTGAAAATAGGAGAAATAATAACGGCCTTTGACTGTTTTAAGAGCGATTCTCAGGCACAGGCTGGACTGCCTGGTTTTCGGGATGCTTTTCACCTTTACCTTTGACTTTTTACTTTTATTTCTCACTTGAATGCTCTGAAGCCTACTTTCTGGCTTCCATGTAACTGATTTTTGTATCTAGGTTCTTCCCTTGCTCTGAAAGACACACAAATCTGCCCTTCACTTAGAGATCTGTACCTCTGTACTTATTTCTGGTGTGTCTTTTCTTCTACTCCCTCTGGCTGAGTTGGCAGCTTACTCAGAGTTTGTTTTTTTTCCCCAACCTGTTTAGATGCCTCCTGTTTATTATTACAGTTTCATAGAGTGGATTATGTAATATGGATTATGCAATTGCATACAGTGAAATCCAGTGGAAGATGAGTACACAGACAAATAATCTTTATGTTTATAAAATCTATGTAGAATACCTTCAGAGGAAAAATGAGTTGCCGAGGGAATGCCCCACTGTAAAAGATGTAGATAGATGCAGCACTCAACTTGCGTCACATGGATGTGTTAAATTAAAGGCACTGAAACATGAAATCATGCTTATTCAGGAGAACAGGCTGAAACTACCATGTTCCCACAGTTTTTCATCAGAAGCTTGACTGATCAATATTTATTTTATTTTATTTGTGTATGTATATTTATTTAATCACAGTGAGATATACAGTTACAGAGTTGTTCATGATTGGGTATCAGTCATATAATGTTCCAACACCATCCATCCCTTCACATTTCCCACAACCAATGTCCCCAGTTTCTCACCTGCTCTCCCCTTTCTCCACTCCGAAGGCTATGGCAGGCACTTTTTTTTCTTTCTCTCTTTATTTTTTTCTCTATTTCCCTCTCCATCTTTCCCCCTCCCGTCCCCCCCTCCCCACAACCACTTAGGGTGTAAATACACCACTTCAGTTCTCATATATTCCTATGTTGACTCTTTGAGGAAATACTCTCTCTCTGGAGTCAGGAATGATTGTAGATTTAGATGAGAGATATAGTAGCCTTCCAGATGCATCAGTCAATTTACCCATTATCATGTATTTCTGGGCTGGAGCCATAGCACAGCAAGTAGGGCATTTGCCTTGAATGCAGCCAACATGGCCGAGCCAGGTTCGATTCCTCTGCCCCTCTCAGAGAGCCGGCAAGCTCCTGAGAGTATCTCACCCGCACAACAAAGCCTGGCAAGCTACCCATGACATATTCCATATGCCAAACACAGTAACAACAAAGTCTCACAATGGAGACGTTACTGGGCCCGCTCCAGAAAATCGATGAACAACAGGAGGACAGTGACAATGACATGTATTTCTAGTGCTTTGACTGACTTGTTGTATGTTGTTGCAGACTGTTTTGTTCTTTGCTGGTTTGAAAGAATTGTATATGCCTAGAGTGCTTTGTCAAAGGTTGTACATTCAATGGTTTAGCCAGTAAGATGTGAATTGAGAAAACTGTATAAGATTTGTGGGGGGAAAAAGATCTTACACATTCTTAATGTAGCTTTAAAATGAAACATTTATAAAAGATATTGCATCTCCAAATGATTGATTACCTGTGGGGAAGAGATGCTTTTATTGCAATATATAGTTTTCTTTTTTATCTAAAACAAAAGGCCGTTTAAATTAAGGGCAGTTTATTTTATTTGTGTTTATATAAAGGCTGTTATGAAAAGAAGAGACCAAATACAAGCTGAACTGGATTCCAAAGTTGAAGCTTTGGCCTATAAAAAGGCAGATACTGATTTGGTGAGTTTTTGTATTTCTTTGTATAATTCTAAATTTATTATTGAGAATTTCTATTAAAATTATAGGGGCTGGAACAATAGTACAACCAATCAGATGCTTGCTTTGCATGCTGGCCAACTCAGGTTTGATCCCCAGCATCCCATATGGCCCTCTTAGCATCACCAGGAGTATTTCCTGAATGCAGAGCCAGGAATAAATGCTGAGCATCACTGGGTGTGGCTCATACCAAATACTCAAACAAACAAATGAAAATATAAAGTTTTATTTTTAAAATATTTTTCAGCACTTTCAAGTCATTCTAAAATTTCTTCAAAAGTCTTTTTACATTGAGTGCCAAGTAATTCTAGAAGCATAACAGTGATACATTTCTGCCTCCCCCCCCAATTTAATTAATTAATTAATTAATTTTGTGGCACTATGTCTTTAATTCAGGTCTTCTACAAACAAAGCTTGTGCTTTCTTAGTGAGTCACCTCCCTAACCCTAGCCTTTCTGACATTATTTCTTAGCTATGAATATGAAATTAATTTTTGAAAATTTTTGTTAAAAGAAGGTAGGTAAAAAGTATTTGCATTTTCCAGAATGTAAGAACTCAGTGAAACCATCCAGTTTCTATTAATTTCATAGGGTGTTTATAAAAAATGTTAGTGTTTTTATGTAATTCATTCTTTTTTTATAAACATCTTTCTTGTTTTCTAGGTTTGTAGGATAACATTGGTTTGTCCTTTCTGCCTTGCCACAGGGAGCTTAGGTTTATGGGGTTGCACCCATCACAGTCATTCCCATTCCTCTGCATTTATCTGTAACCACTTTCTTTGTGCTCTGCTTCCCTAACCAGTCAATTGCCTTTATCTCCTAATCAGACTCTTTTAACTTATAAATGTTGCTTTTCTCTTTTCCCTATGTTCTTTGTATGGTTAATTCAGAGTAATGTCCTTTTTTGCATTGACACAGGAAGACAGTTAATGCTATGCTTTAGTAACTTGAAAAGTTAATTGACTCTGAATAATATTCAGTCCTGGGTGTCCGTTCTCTCAATTTAAGCATCAGTTGCCCTTAGTTCCTAGTATCCCCAAAGCAGGTATCCCCAAAGCAGGTTCCTGATGAGGGACTGGATGGATCCAGGACAAGCTGTGAGCCATCCTGGCATCCATATGGGCCAGGCCAAAGCGCCATAATACTTAACTCTAAGTTAAGAGTATGGTCATGGACAAATTCTATCATGATACAAAAAGTAACAACTGTATTCGGATCCTGCTAGGGTTAGGAAAGACTAATCTGGCCTGAGCACTGTAGTCTGAGATCTGTAGCGAGTTGCCCCCAGGACAGCCATCCTATAAACTTAATGTATCTCTTATGTATCCATTCAAAATAACTAATATTATTAAGAAGTAAAATTAAGATGAATGTTTAAATGATTATTGGACTAGGGAAAGGAGAAAAAACCCTAGGTGGTATTTTGCCCTTGAGCAGATCTCTGGACTGCAGATCAGGAGGAGCTTTGATTTGTTGATTATGCTACCAGACCTGGGTGTGGTTGCTACAGCCAAGTTTTGGGGAGTTGGGAGAAACTAGAGAGAAGAGGAAGGGTGAGACTGACTGCAGAGAGACTAGCAAGGGGGGACTGGAGGAGCCGGGAATCAGGGGCAGTGTGAGACTAGAATGGGTAGTTTAGTAGACTGAAATAGGCAGGTGGGGAGAATGGGATAAACAGTAACTGATCACCGACCAGCCTGGCCCTCCTTCGCCATACCGGGTGGGAAAGTGGCCTGAGACCACCAAACGCAGGCGGCAAGAGAGCTCCAGGCTTCTTATTTGTTTTATGAATACACATAAAACAAGTATTTGATGTACTTCACACAGTAACAATTGTCACAATAGAGACGTTACTTGGCACGCTTGAAAATGGATGAACAACGGGAGGACAGTGACAGTGACAATTCTTTTATTACGGTACTTTATTATAGAAAATTTCAAATTATGAAACAAATCCAAAAATTTAACGAACTATTCATCTACCTTGTTGGGCTTCATTTAATTTCCAACATTTCGTTCTTTTTCATCTTTTTCTTCATTTTTTACTCTAATGTATTCTAAAGCAAATGCCAGACATCATATTATCACCCATGGTATTTCAGTAGTGATATTACTGTCTTCACTTTTTAAATTTAGAGATGAGCATCACTATTCTCATTTCAGTGTTGGAGAGGAGGCTTCGCATTGAGGAAAACTTATACTTACTGCTTTTGAAATAAAGTAGAATTAGAGGTGATGGTACCACTTATCTCAGAGCATGGTGCTTCTCAGCAAGCAGAAGAGTGGGGGACATTAATAATTATTTTGATTAATCTCTGAGTGCTCCATGAAAAATATTTTCTTAATTGTTTTGTATGAGTTTAAATTGGTACTGAATGTAACATTTAACATACTGCGCCATGTAGTGTGGGGGGGGGTCCATATATAATCATTTGGACTTTACCTTCCTAAGTTGTTTGGGACTTTCTCTCCTCTTTGCTGAATTTTTTCCTTAACTTTATTCATCTTTCACACAATGTAGAATTACTTTGCTGTTACTTTTGCATTACCTTTTCTCTCTCCTGTTCCATAAGCTAAGCAGCTCAAAGGCAGGAAACTTTTTTTTTTTTGTTTTCTGTTCTTAGAATACTGTTTGCTATGTGGAAGCTATAGTGAATGAAAAGATTTCAAGGAGTGCTTGATTCATAAAAAATATATGGAAGCTGTGAAGCGAGCACTAGAGTGAATAAGAAAGTATTGTGAAATGTGATTAGATCGTTTGGAATTTAGAATTTATCATTTAGTTATTAAATACATTTTAATATGGAAATAGTGATTGGATGAAGTGTTGCTCTTGACTGAATGTTAGGAAAAGTGCAGTAGTTTATTTAAAGTTTAGGAAAATAATAAAGTGGCTTTAAAAATCAGCATCTGTTCAGAAATGGCCTGTATTCATATTTGAAATTGCAAAGAAGTTGAATTGTTCCAACCACAAAAAATAGGGGGGGGGGGGGAAGAACTGGAATCTAAATATGGCTAGGCTTTTCCCAACTCAACTGAAAATACATTTTAAAATTTGACTTGAAAATATTTTGTCTTTTGCTGTATCAAGTTTTCTTGACAATATACTGTAACTGAGCAGTCCATCTATATTTATAATTTTTGTTTGATGCTCATGATAGGGGATTTCTGTTTAGTTAGTGGTTAAGTAGGAAATTAGAAAAATTATTTAAATTATATTTTATTAGACCTTTTAGTCTATTACAGTTTCTAACAGTCACCTTTAACAAAAGCAAAGACCTTGCAAATATTTTTTTTTTCAGTATTCATCAAAACAGGTCCTTTCTAAAATGTTCTGGGACTAATTCAGTGATTTGTAAATAGTAACACTTAGATGTTCAGTGTGCTCATTTGCATTCCACACTTCTTATTTCTTAAGTATTGTGATGGCATCACCGGGAGACACCTTCCAGAGTGACTCTCCAAATGAATGTGTCATGATTGGTCACGGAACAACTGAGGGGACGTTGCTTGGAAATATGCAGGCTAGGGTCACCATGGAAACGTGCCCTTGTGAGGTCCTTCTAAGGAGCAATCCTTTGCAGTCACCATGACGACCCTGGCAGAGAACTGAATATAGCAGTCTAGCCTGGTTGTTTACCATGGCAACTCACACAGAGCCACTTTGGAGACAGATCTGGGGCCATTTCTATGGAGACTTGCTGAGGCTGCCTTGAGAGGCTCCATCAAATTCACCTTTGGGTGGGGTGCTTGTACGCAAAACCAGCAAAGCAACTGGTCAAGAAAAGGTCAGTAAAAATGAAGCTCTACTGAGTAAGGCAGAGACTAGTGGAATCATAATTGTTGGGCTGGAATATAGCAGGGATGGAACATTCCAGCATTCCAGGATCATATTGGATATATCAAGTGACCTTTATCTGGGCTTCAGGACTTGCAAATATCAGACTCTGGTCTTCCCACTGCTTGTAGCTTTGTATATGGCTGTAAATTCCCCTCAATAAAGGCAATACTGTTGCTGCTTCTCACAATGCATAGGTGCCTCTAACAGTAATGTGTTTTTCTCCACACTAATGTAGTATTTTAGAGGGAATTCCTTGGTTTATTACCTGAGGGCTATAAAGTGGCTGCTTCTTAGAGTTTGTGGTTTGTAGTTCTTTCTCATAGAAATAAAAACGATGGTTTCAAAACAACCTAAATTCCATAAAGATATTCAGAATACTCATTTGAAGGCCACTTCTGCTGTTCATTAGCATTTTGACATTTAGGCTTTGAAATTAGACCTAGGATCAGTTTCTAGCTCGTTTGCTTATGAATTCTGTGATACATGATATGTTTCCTGATGTATTTTAGCCCCATTTTAGAGTGCTCATTGTGAGGAAGCAAGTAGTAGTATTCAAATAGGCTTATTGAGTGATTCTTTGATATACCCTAGTAGCTTTGCATCAGAGTAAACACTCAGTAGTTCTTAGTTGCTTTCCTCTGGATGACTTTATAGTAGCAGTGTTTGAGATGATGCCTGTGAAATCACTAAGAAACTGTACATTGAAGAGGCAAGAAAATGTTTTCATGGAATGGGGCTATTAAGAAAAGTAGTGAAAGCTCAAAGAGCAGGCTGCACTAAGATTTGTACAGTGAGAGTAGGAGAGAAGGCGATGAGGGCCTGTGTTCATTGAGGTGACTTTCCACAGACAGATGGGAAGCAGCCTCATTTGGGAGGTTGATCAAGGTTGACTTGGTCTGGGAAGTATAGATCCAGAGACAGCATCAACTGAAGATGTGGTAATAGAGTCATAGAGAAGAATACATTTGAGAGAGAAGATACAGGTGAATGATAGGACTCATCACACTTGAATGATAAGTGGCCACTCTTTCAGCATGTTAGTGGCTCCTTGTGTGGCTCCTCTGTAAGACAGAAAGATAGCAGGTCAACACAATCAGCTATAGTATAAAAAAGGAAGAAGAAAA